GAAAGGGAAGGCTCTCACTCCATGCCCTGGGCCGTCTGGCGCGCGATGTCGATCAGCTGGAACATCTGGAACTTGGTCTCCTGCACGTGCAGGTGTTTGTAGAGGCTGCTGCCCTCACACCACTGGGTGACAATGGCCAGGTTGTCCTTGGTCATGTAGCCCATGAAGAGCAGGATGTTCACGTGCCGGGTCTTCCTGCCAGAGGAGCACCAAGAGAAATCAGTGGCTGCACCCAAAGCACCCTCCTGGCTGGAGGCACCCATCCCTGCAGCCCCAGCCCAGGGTGGGAGTCAGGTCTGGCCTCACAGATAATTAAAACACAACACAGTTGCCATTTTCTGGTTATCAGCTGGTTTTTTTTTGTATTTTAGTTACAATTCTCCTTTTAGTTATTTGAAATCAACATTGAAGACAAGGATGTCTGAAAACTCAAATGGTCTGACATCAACAAGCAACAGCCACACCTGCAAGTGGGGTTAGAAATGACAGGAATGGCAGAAATCACCCTGGAAGCTGGGGAAAAGCCCAGCTTTAGGTGGAAGACTAAAGACTTCCTTCCACCCCCAATTCTGCTTTCACAAACCAGAACTTTTCCTTCCACCCCCCAATTCTTCCCCATTCCCAGCTGCTTTCACAAACCACAACCCTTCCCTCCACCCCAAATTTTTCCCCATTCCCAGCTGCTTTCAGAAGCCAGAGCTTTTCCTTCTATCCCAACTTTCCCCCATTCCCAGCTGCTTTCAAAGACCAGAGCTTTTCTTTCCACCCCCAATTTTTCCCCATTCCCAGCTGCTTTGAAAGACCAGAGCTTTTCTTTCCACCCCTGATTTTTCCCCAAGAGAAACCAAAGGATAGCTGTAAACCCTCAAGGAATTAGCAGGTGAGGAGATGGTTTTTTATCTATCTACTTGGTTCATTTTCAGCAGTAACATCCCAGACACTAAAAACCCTCAGGATCTGAAAGCAGAGAACAGTTACACTCAGCACTGCATGTGCTTAAGGAAAAAAAATGATTATGCTGCAATCTGAAGAGGAACTTCAAACTTCAACACTTGAAGAGTTCAAATGTGGTGAGAGTTAGGGCAGAAATTATTAATCTCCACCTTCCCTGCCCAGTGTGGGCTGAGCAAGGTGGGTGTTAGGAATAAAAAATAAAATAGGAATAAAATAGGAATAAAAAACAAAAATACACTGAGCTAGGACTTTTTTATTCTTCTCTGGAAATCTGCTGTTTGTGCACAGAATATTGGGCCAGAAGGCTCCAGGGAGGCAAATGGAATATCAGAATTTAGCAGTGAACACCAACTCACCTCAGGACAGCCACTTCATTCCTGAAAGCCTGGAACTGCTCTGGGGTTGGGTCTACAACCTTTAGGATCTTCACTGCTACATCCCCTGGAAATACAATTACCACAAATTTATTCCAAGTGCAGCTTCCCTTTCCTCCTCAAAATAACAGAAATGAACAATGAAACTCAAATCCCTCATCTGTGCACAGCACACCTCTACTAAAGGGTCAAATTTCCCTGCAAATTCCTGTGGTATCAAGCAATTAATTGAGCTGAATTTCAGTCTGATAGAAAAAGCCATTAATTAATTATTTACATACTTTCCTTCTATCTTTAAGGGAAAAAATTCCCTTAAATTTTTATTCCCTCCTTTTGGCAGGACATATGTACACACACCTTTGTGGTTTTATTAGCAAATTTAAATACTGAAGTGTTTTATATATAAACTTCATCTGAGCACATCAGAAAACCCAACAGCTCCCCTTCGTGCAGAATTTCATTAATTACTTAATTCTTGAAGAGGTGTGAATGTTCTACTAAAATAAATCATAATATGAATTTAGCGTTTATTACAAAATCTGATTGAAGTCATTTTTCCTCTTGATTTCTGTGTCCCATAATGAAAATCAGAACCTGTTCATTATTTTCAGTGTAACAATATTGCTTCCCTTGCTGCTGACAGCACCTGGGCTTTGAGACATGCAAGTATTTACTCATTAAAAACAGAGGGCAGCAGGTGAGTTTCCAGATTTGTTTTTTCAGGTTTTTTTTTCCTGACAATACTGCCATTTAAATTAGAGCCTTGAGGGGTTTCTGTGTGTTTCTGTTCAAAATCACAAGCCATGAATTTGGAAACAAATTTTGCAGCTTTGCAGGGTGCCTGTTTTCAAAATATCCCCACTACACATCAAACTCTCACATTAATCATTTTTCCATTGAAAAAACTCCACCATTTATTTATGCTGATTTCCTTTCCATGCTAATTAAACCACAAAGGTTTTAAGAGAAGCTCAATATAACTGAACAGCAGGCTGTGGAATTTCCCAGCTAACAGCAAAGAAACCCTTTTCAGAAAGGAAACTGGGCTGGAACGTGGCAGTGAGGAGATCAGAGCAGAGGGAATGGAGGTGCAGCTGTGAGACTGAGGGCTGGTGTCTGAGCTGTGCTGGAACCCCAGGGCTGCTCT